ATTTGATTTGCATCAAATACCCTGCTAAGCATTATCACTCACTCCTTTTTGAGGTGCTAGACTTCAGTGGCGAATTGTTTTGGAGTTAGGAAGTCAAATTCATTCATCTCTTCAAGCATGAATGTGTTAGCATACCTCTTAGCATGAGGATTATTGGTCGAGCTTGCTGAGGGACTCCAGTTTTGTTGGGAATAAATTGTTGGTTAGGATGAGATGGTCATGTCTGGAGACATGCTATGCTACATTTAGTTAAAATGAATAATACAAACATGAAGTTGAAGAAGTAATTTCAGAAAGTTCAGTAGGATGTAATTTCATAAAGTTTAGAAGGTATATCATGAATCTGTAATTTTCACAAAGTCCAGGCTCTGTAATTTGTAATAGTTAAGTTAGTAAGACATAATGAATTCTCTATAACATAATTTATGAGAACATATTCTTTCTAGCTCCAAGTCTTGTGATTGCTTTGTTAAATCTTTTTCCAAGTCAGCAACATTTGAGCTATGTTAGCACAAGCTTTTCTTCCACCACATGGAAGTTGTGCTTTGGCCATTATGCTCCCTTACTATCCATAAGTCCACAACTCGAATTGACATATTTCAAATTTGATTCCCTTTTTGCAAGTCATTGATTGATATACGAGGTAATGACATCTTTGTAAGCACAAAATATATAAAAAATGAACAATAGATTAGAAAAGTGACATTCAAAAGATGGGTAAGGAGACTAACAAATAGATGATGGATAAACTGATAAAAACAGGATGACCAAACTGAACCTTCGCAGGATGGCTAACCATTATGTAAGACCATAATTGTGCCAACAATTTTAAGTGTAAAATAGTGGTAGTGGTGTGTTTATTCACCAACAGTCAAGTGTTTTACAACACTTTAAACACTACACTATAGTAATCCACTTGAAAAACACATTGACAAACATACTGACGAACAAAAACAACATTTCACTTACCACCATAACTTTCAAGTTAGCCAAGCATACAAAGTTGTCACAATTTGATGGTATTGCAATACGAGGTTCACAAGTAAATAATGTAACACCCCAAATTTATTGGAATATTTATTTAATTTATTTAAATATGAATATTCATATTTTTAGTGATTTTCGGTGGTTAGTGTGAATATTGAAAATTATGAATTTTGGATTATTTATTTAAATAATAGTATATAATATGAATATATTAGTATTATTATTAATTTAAATAAATATAAGTAATTTAAGGGCAAAGTGGACATTTGAGGAGGAGTTAGTGAGGGTGAAGTTGGAAAGCCCAATTTTAAAGGCTCAAAGTTAGGTTTAACAAAAAGGAATTTGAGGGAATCAGGATTCATTCTTGTTAGACCGTGAAAAGGGAAGAAATAGAGGTCAGAGCTCTGAGGAAGAGTATTGAGGCAAAAGCTTCGAGAAGTTTCCAAGAATCAAGGAGAAAGGCTTAGAGTCGACAATTAAGGTATGGAGAGTATTACCTTCATTGTTTTTGTTAAGAGTCCCATATCGGACAATATATGACATGAACATGTGTTTATAAGTGGGGGCAATCCTCACTCTACCAACCGGTTTTGTAGGGTTGAGTTAGGCCCAACCACACTTCTCAACATGGTATCAAGAGCCTCGTTTAAGATCCGGTGGGCCACCTTCTATGGTTTCCGCTATCGGGCCACCCACCATTTATTTCCACGCTTCAGTTGTCCAGTCCTGAGCGTGAGAGGGTGTGTTAAGAGTCCCACATCGGACAATATATGGCATGAACATGTGTTTATAAGTGGGGGCAATCCTCACTCTACCAACCGGTTTTGTAGGGTTGAGTTAGGCCCAACCACACTTCTTAACAGTTTTCAATATGTGATTCAATATGTTTAAAACTGATTTAAGGGTTTATGGATTTTTGAGTATTGAATTGTTGTTGCCTTTTTGATGGTGAGTTCAATGAGTTTGAGGGATTTGAACTGATGGTTTGATAGGTTTGAGGCTGATTTGAGAGTAAGGGAAATTAGGCCTTCGTGGCCAAAATCTGTTGTTGAAGTTTTAACTGTATAAAGTAAATGATTGTGAGAACTTTAATGACTGTGGGGTATTTGTAAGAAATTATGGGAATTTGAGGCGTAAATAGGATACGGAATTGACCTAATAAGTCGTAGATTGTGTCTTTATTGCCGTAATACCTTAGGAATGATTTAGGGATATTTTGGGGGGCATTGTGGAAGGAAATCGTAGAGGATTTTGGGCTGGTTTTGGTGCTGGTGCGTAATGCAATTTGCTGTAATCGCGAGTTCACACAACAAAGAATGCTTCGCACGACGAACATTCGCCCCAGACTCGCACAACGAACTTGCTAACGAACGTAGTAGCAGAGTTTCTTGAATTTTGATCTTGTGTAGTGATGTTTTGATGTTTTGATATTGTGATTTCTTTGATGAATTACCATGAGCATGACTATGATTCTTCTGAGATTTGGTGCTGGTGCGTAACATCGATTTGCTGTAATCGCGAGTTCGCACGACGAACATTCGCCCCAGACTCGCACAGCGAACTTGCTAGCAAATGTAGCAGAATTTCGCGAATTATGTTCTGGTTCAGGGATGTCTTGACATTTTGATGCTGTGATTTTCCTGATGAATTATCATGAGTATAACTATGATTCCTATGTGATTAAATGAATGTATGATGAATTACTATGAGTATAGTTGTGATTCCTATGTGATTAATACATGACCGTATGATGAGTACCCATGAGTATAATTGTGATTCTTATGAGATTAATACATGATTGTATGATGATTCTTATGAGTAATGATGATGAGTTTTGATGTTGACTCCATGAGTTTTTGATGATTATATGATAACATGATTACTATGATGATTTTGATGAATGATGATGCACCTAATGAGTTTATTTTAAGGATGACATTGACGTGTGCGTCATGCATTCATATGCATTCCGGACTTCGATCTAGGACCTTAATTCTTGTGACTTCAGTCCCATTGTGCAGATGCGAGGTATTTTATTATGCTTCGGTTCTCGTGTAGAATCGATCCTACTGTTGTGGATCTATGGAGGGTTGATGGCCCACTGTCCATCGAATTTTGTTGATTGGTACCACATGCATGAGTCTTGTTGCATTTGCATTTATGTGACAATTTAGTGTAATTTATATGTTGTGGCCTTTGATGATTATGATGATGTTGAATATGAAAATGACGCTGTTTTATATATTGATTTTTATGAATCGTTTTACTCACTCTGCCTGTTTGAATGTTGCCTCCACGTGGGTAACGTGCAGATGACCAGGTTTAGCCGTTGATGTCGTCGAGGACTTTTTGAAGTTTTGGATCGTTGACCATTATGGTTGACTTAGAGGGTCTTGCTCTAATAGTTTAACATCGAGTTGTGGTCTTTGAGTTAAACCATATTTTATTGAGTTTTTGTTATGTTGATTTCCTTGCGATGAAAATAAAACTTTGGATTTTGTCTTTTTAAGTTCTGCTGCCTTTTGAGTAATATTTTTGAGTAATTTTGGGAAAACCCGTTGTTTACGGAGCATTGACTATATTTAAATTATTGAGAAATGTGCGCCCTTTTGAGATGATTTTATTGCGTTCAATATTTTACTCTGATAAATATGATTGATTTGTCATTATATTTGTGGGGTAGAAAAGGATGTTACAAATAACAACTATGATTTTAAGGTTTCACATTTAAAATGACTATTACATTTTCATTAGCAACTAAAATTTTGTTATATAAAAGAAGAAGATCAGACTATAAAAATCCAGTTGAAAAACTTATCGACAAACAAAAATAACATTTCACTTACTGCCACACCTTTCAAGTTAGCCAAGCATAGAGGTTCACAACCCCAAGCATGTATTTTCTAGATGAGTTTCTCAACCTATAAGCATGTGTTTTTCAAAGTATTAAAGGTAAAAAAAACAGAAGTTCTCAGAAGAAGTATTCAACACCCAAAACTTAATAAAAAAGCAGAGGGGAAGATACGAAAAAACACAGTAAAACTCAAAAAACTGTGTTGAAGAGATTGAACTCAAACAATTGAAACATGTAAAACTCAGAGGAAGCAGGGAGATATGAAACAAAGAGATGCAAAAACATATTGAAACAAAAGGATAAACAAGATATTAAAATGACTATGAAACATATTTTCAAGCAAAGAAAAATGGAAACTCAACATTAAAAAGCGCAACACATAAATGATTATGCAAAACAACTACTAGAAAACAATTCAATGATGAAACACCTAACATCGATTGAAACCTAGAAAAAGGCACAATAAAAACCATAAAAAAACATTCAAATATCACTTAAAAACACTGAATTTTTGACGAATAGATTTCTCACTATGAAAAAACCAATAGAGTGAAAATAACATAAAGAAATGAGTGAAGATTGAAATCATTGTGGAAAGGAAAACCTGTGTTTGGTTTATACCTTTTCACAATGGAAGCAAGAAAATGTTTGAAAGCTTTGAAAGTTAAAAAGATTGATTTTGTTTTACAAGAAAGAAAAAAGAGGTGTCGAAGGTTGATTAAGAGAAAATATAACTAAAATAAGGTGTAAATTAAATAGAAACGAGATAAATAGTAAAAGAAGTGAAATTGAGCCGCATGCCAAATACATTTGTTAGATTGAAGAATTAAGTAATTGATTTGCAATTAAATTATTTACTAGAATATTCTTGTATAGTGTAAATTTGAAAACTTGAAACGATAAAATAGTGAGAGTTGTAATACTCTTATATAGTTGATAATAGATTGATTTTCAAATATTTATAAAATTTTATAAGAAAATATATAATATCCAATTATATTTGTGCCAAAACAATAGCGTTAAACCATAACCCACATACCTCTCCGGTTCATTGTGAACCGGGTCTTACCAACAAAACCAGAGAGAAACTAATAAACTTTTAGCTTACTTCAGATTCAGATCGCGAACAGAGTTGGAGGAGACAAAGACGAAGAAGAGAATGGGAACGACGGTGGCGGGTCTGGCGCCGGGGCTGTCACGGAAGCTGAAGAAAGTTCTAGAATCAAGGATCGACACGCCGGATCTCTTGTCTTCACTAAACACACTCTCTTCTTTCTACGACGAGAACACTCCTCAAGCACGCCGCAACCTCCGATCAACCATCGAAAAGCGCGCTCTATCCATCAACCACGAATTCCTCGATGCTTCACATGCTGCGCAACTGGTAATTCGTCTTTGCTGCATTTTTAATCTTATCGTGCAGTTATCAGTTGCTTTTGCGGTTCTGATCGGATCTGGTCCGGTTTAATTCTCCGTGATTTCTTCGTCAGGCTTTGGATAGCGTGGAGAATGAAGTGGAATCGCTTGCTGAATGCTGCGACAGGTGCGGTTTTCCATTTCTGAAAGTTCCTTAGTTGTAACTGTAGTTCGTTGTTTGTTTCCATGTTTATCATTAAAAGTAAATGTGTATAAGGAGATAGCATACTTTGACTCTGAATGTTGTTAACTGAAATTCAGTTTCTGTGCTTAGTAGTGATGTTGAGTTGCATTCGATTCTGCTTCTTTCCCCTGGGAATGCTTACATGGACGTTAATTACCGTGTCCTTGTAATTGGTTATAAAATTGGAAAAAGTGTGTTGTACAGGAAATGCTCATTCTTTATTAGGTTCGAATATCAGTTAACTAGTGAAGATCCTGTATAATTTTCCACATATGAAGGGAAACATTTGTTTGAATTTCCGTCCGTGTCACCAGTGGGACTCTAAAAGAAAAAAGATAGACAGGGAAACAATTATTCAAAATAGATAGAAGTAAGAATTTGTGATTAATTTATCATTTTCCATCCTAGTAAAGAAGCATATGGTAGAAGTATGATTTCAAACCAGTGACTGATTCTAAAAATTCATAACCTACCCCAATATAGTATAAATTCACTGGATAGAAGTAAGAAATCATGATTAATTTATCATTTTCCATCCTAGTAAATAAGCATATGGGAGAAACCTATGATTGAGATATAGTGAAGTGTCAATACAATGCTCGTTCATCATATTGGGTTGATTATGATATCTTAGAATCACTGTCATTGGTTTGTTGGCGGATGAGATTTGTTTTGGAAATGGATGTTGTGTTTGATTTGTAGAACCATGTCCATGACATAATTGAGAAATTATCCAGTAAGTATTTTCATTGGTTATTCTTTGGGATTGTGAAATGCAGGTAAAGAAAACCAATGTAGTTAGAGACAATTCGTGTTGTATCATTCAAAAATTTAGAGGGTATGCATATATTAACTAGTCACAACTAAGATTATCAGTTTCTTGTGTTTATCTTTTTCATTATATACTTGTTTCTAGCAGATGCCTTCTGCAGATGAAAAAAAGTTTCATTTGCAGGAAATGCGTTAAAAAAGTTACTCTACTTGGGAAAAAATAGGATACCCAGCACCTAGTGTGTGCGTGTTCGTGTAGATGGATTTTTTGTTTTGTTTGAATTTAAACAGCTGATGGATTAGAAAGTTGTTCAATTAATGTGGGACATGCCCACCCAACATCTATTTATATTTAGAGTGATGTCAAATTACTTATGGTATGTTTGATTTGATGGTGGAAAGCTTATTCTCGCATCTCAATGAAAAGTAATCGAGATTTTTATGAAGCTAGGAAAATCAACTTGACGCGTGGTGATATTACAATTGAGCACGGAAACAAACGCATACTTAACAAGAAGTTTTCTGTATTATAGTGAGATCTGTGGCTGAGATTATTTGGCGTACATTTTAAATCATGTAAAGGCAATTCCATAGTAGCTAGCATGTTGGAGCCGAGTTTGATTTGTAGTCAATGAAGTATTTAATTTCTGTATTTAGTGCGAGGTGCTGGCATTATGGTATATCATTCTCAATTTTGGTTTTGTAGTGCAGCTTCAGAAATATCAGTTTGTGAATCTTGTTCTGTTTAGCACTTGATTGGGGTTAGAATTTTAAGTTTTACTTTATAGCATAAGCATTTCAAGTTTCCTTTTTAAACTTAAAATTTTCTTATTGTTCTTTCAGTAAGAATGGATTCTCTATTTTTCTAGCCTACAGATCCTTAAATAAAATTTTAGGTTCTATGTTTTTACAGGATAGCAAAGGCTTTAAGCAGTTGTAGTGCTAGCACCGGTGACATTATAAGTACCACAGAGAGGCTCAAACAAGAACTTGAAACTACTACACAAAGACAAGAAATTGTAACATGTTTCTTACGCGATTATCAGCTCTCCCCTGAAGAGGTTTGAATTACTGTTTAATGTTTTACCTATTATTGACCCATGGATTTGTGAATCAAATAAGTGTATTATATTCTTGCTTAAAGTTAATTGTTGATCATCTGTAGATTGATGCACTTAGAGATGAAGATCTGAATGAAAGTTTTTTCAAAGCACTATCTCATGTCCAAGAGATTCATGCCAATTGTAAAGTGTTGCTTAGGACACATCATCAGGTAATCTTGTCTTCTCTATCCCTCCTATTATATGTGCAATTGTTAACCTGTTATTTGAAGTTTGGACTCTGAACCCAAATTGCCTATATAGTTATGAGCTTACATATGAAAATTATGCACCCTCTCAGGCAATTTTTCTATCCTTTACATGCTTGGCCTTTCTGCTAGCTGGAAGTTTCCACAGAATTTGAAACATCATTAGAGTTTAGTGTAGAAAAGACTTGTGTAATATCTAGAATTAAGATTATCCATAGATATTCTTGTGGAATTGAGGAAGAGGGAGGTGCAGATGTCTGGGACAAAAACAAAAGTCTTCTGGCTGCATAAAGTATTCACAACTTTGAAGTAACTAAACCTTAACCAATCATTGTCACGGTTGCACGAGTGCCTAAGATTTTCTGTATGTATAACTCAGTCCACAGTAAGATGCCCAGTTGGAGGAGAGGGTTTTTAGGGGTTTAATTTTATTCATAATACAAAAACCACCTAGTTTGGAGGAACTAAAAAATTGTATTGGAGGAAGGGTTTGACAGGCTTAGATAAATTTTTCGGTTACAATTTAAGTTGTTATAATATTTTGAAAATTAACAATATATTAATGATAAACATTTATTTATCATTCTATACAAAATTGTTCTTTCAAAAATTGTTAAAGATTTCTCATATTTTTCTTTAAATCTCCTTATCTCGAAGCCATCTCTCATCCTTCCTCTCACTTTCAGTATTACTAACCATTTTTGGCTTGATAGTGGCTTCATTTATATTGATAGTGTACTCAATCTATAGCTATAGCTACAATAAATTAGCGTGGCTAATAGAAATATAAATAATCAGAACCTACAATCATCAAATCAAATTAGAATACATGTATCTGTAAGCCAATATACTATAACAAGTAATCTAATGGACAAGAATCTGAATGATTAGTCTTCAGGAAGCTTTTTTTTTGGGAAAAAAAATTACCTTATCTTTTCTTGAGGGTAACATACTTCTGTTATTTGATAATTGATACCACCTCTTCAATAAATATAGGGCCCTGTTGACTAAATTAGAAAAATTGGTAGTAGTACTAAATTTGTTATAACAATTTGTATTGTTTTTCAAAGATGGCCATATAGGAACTGCCAAAAAAAAAAAAGATGACCATGTAGGAGAGAGAATTGATTTATCTTCCCATTGGGTATTTTGGTAAGGAAATAGTTAGTTCAGTTACAAATTTGAAGGGATCCTATAAAAAAGGAGATGCGAAATTCTGGAGAGGGTCCTATATTTAGGGGGGGGGGGGGGGGGGGGGTAGTACATGACTTAGCTTCTTTTCTCCCCCCCTTTTTTTAATAAGTTGGCTTAGCTTCTTTTGGCATTAGTATGACCCTATGTTTCATGGACCCAAACATGACGGGGGGTAGTACATGACTTAGCTTCTTTTCTCCCCCCCTTTTTTTTATAAGTTGGCTTAGCTTATTTTGGCATTAGTATGACCCTATGTTTCATGGACCCAAACATGACGGATTAAGGTTTGTCACTGGTGAAAAACTTTCTGTACCCGTAATTTGTACTAGATGTCTAGAGCTATTCATGCAATGCTAGTTCTGATTGACTAAATTGCTGGAGACGGTCCTATATTTAGGGATGGGGAGTGGTACATGACTTAGCTTCTTTTTTTATAAGTATGGTATGAGCCTATGTTTCACGGACCCAAACATGCCGGATCAAGGTTTGTCACTGGTGAAAAATTTTCTGTACCCGTGATTGCTAGATGTCTAGAGCTATTAATGCAATGCTAGTTCTGATTGAATGTGACTAAATTGCATTGGACTGATATTATTCATTCGGATGCTATTGATTTCTAGAGTATATGCACAAATTCAGTAGATGGGTGAAAAAACACCACTCAAGGTTAAAAAATACTTTATTGCATGACTTTAAGACCTCTGATGTTGTATGAGATTGAAAGTTAAGATGGTAATGAGCCAACAAAAAGGTAAATTCAGTCTCGCAGAAATGTGAATGTTCAAATGGATGAGTGGTCATACTAAAAAGGATTAGGAATACAAGTGTTAGAATTAAAATAGGTCCCATTGTAGAAAAGATGTTAGAATCTTGTCATATGTGCTGTGGAAGTGCATGGAGTAGACCCATAAGGTTGACCTGATAGTGGATAATCTAATAGTTAGCGGTAGTGGGAGATCAAGAAAAATTCTTAGAGACAAATCATGAAGAGATATTTAGCATTTAATAATTTACGTTTGAACTAAATCATGTTAAAGAATTATGGCATTTTTACCTTACATTTGCAAGAGGCTGATTCTACATCTTGTTTCTGCAACTGTCGCATTATTTTTGCCATGTGACTCAAGATCATGGGTTCAAGTTGTGGAATCAGCCTCTTGGAAATATACAAGATTAGGATAATTGCAATAGATCTGCAAGGGTCGGACCTTTCCTTGGACCCTGCTATTGCTGTAGACCTGTAGTTCTATAACACCAAGTTATCCTAATTTGTTGGTCTATATAGCCAGTCTAATAGTTAGAGATAGTGGGAGATCAAGAAAAAGTCTTAGAGACAAATCATTAAGAGATATTTAGCATTAAATAATTTACTTTGGACTAAATACATGTTAAAGAATTATGGCATTTTTACCTTACATTTGCAAGAGGCTGATTCCACATCTAGTTTCTACAACTGCCCCATTGTTTTTGCCATGTGACTCGAGATCATGGGTTCAAGTTGTGTAATCAGCCTCTTGGAAATATACAGGGTTAGGATAATTACAATAGATTTGCAAGGGTCCGACAATTCCTTGAACCCTGCCATTGCTGTAGTTCCATAACACCAAGTTATCCTAATTTGTTGGTCTATATAGCCAATCTTACCTAGCGGGATGAGGTTTGGTTATTGCTACTCTTGTATAAATTGTTGAAGCAGCCTTGGCTATTTCTTCTGGTTGTATGTTGCTTTCATATCACAATTTTTGCTTAGTATTGATCTTGTTCAAGCAGAGTTTTTTATCCCATACTTACCTGCTACTTTATCTGCTTAAAATCAAATTGCAATGTGTACTGAATTGGAGAATTTCATTTGCAGCGTGCTGGTTTAGAGCTAATGGATATGATGGCAGTGTATCAAGAAGGAGCTTATGAGCGCCTATGCAGGTGAAGAATCATCGATTTCAGCATCTTATGGCTAGAGTATAGTATACCTTATTTTTCAACCATATGATACACATACATATAATGTGTGTCTGTTTGAAGTGTGAATTTTTATCTGTGATCAGCTAGATTCATGATATATATGACTACTTATAGCATGTTTGGATTGGCTTTTGGAAGATACAGAATCAATTCTAGAGGTGTAGAATTGATTCTGGATGATTTTGAGGTGTTTGTTTTATCAAAAGTAGAATTGATTCTACTTGAAGCTAGAATTTGTAGCTTCTACCTCCAGAATTGATTCTGCGTGTTTTTTACCCTGAAATTTATTGTTTAACTCACTTTTACGTAAATGTATCCAAACATAAATCAATTCTGTTAAAATCAATTCTACCAAACTCAATTCTGTTAAAATTAATTCTACCAAACTCAATTCTGTTAGAATCAATTCTGTTCAGCCAATCCAAACACACCCTTATAAGTTCTTACAAGTTGTGTCTTTCAATTTAGATCGGCTAGATTCATGATATATATGACTACTTATAGTCTTCTTTCAATTGAGATCGGCTAGATCGATGATATATATAACTACTTATAGTCTTTACATCTAGGTGGGTTCAGGCTGAATGTAGGAAACTGGGCGACACTGACAATCCAGAAGTTGGTGAGCTTCTGAAAACAGCTGTGCGCTACCTCAGGGAAAGATCTGTTCTTTTCAAGTATTGTGCAGAAGAGGTATTTAATCAATTTATTCAAAAACTGTCCATTCTATTTTGGCTTCCATATTTCAGCCGTGAGACATTTCATATTCTGAAGCATATTATTATCTGTTATCATGCACGATGCACCATCTAATGGTGATTATGATAAAATAATTGCAAGTGGAACTCGACTTGATAATAAAATCTAAAGAATGCTCTTATTGTCAAATTGAAACTTAGATTGTCTTAATGATCATATACTTGAGCATAATATATTTTGACTAATTCTGCAGGTTGCCAATATGAGACACAATGCACTGTTTAGAAGATTTATAAGTGCCCTAACACGTGGAGGACCTGGTGGAATGCCTCGGCCAATTGAAGTGCATGCTCATGACCCATTACGATATGTTGGGGATATGTTAGGCTGGTTGCATCAGGTTTGTTATGAAAGCCCTATGGATGTATGCTTGAAACCACTTTTGAATGCTTACTTTGCTACTATGATTTATGTGTTGAAGATAAAGGGTATTATATAAGGAAGGAGGAAAGGGAAAGAGAAAAGACTTTTTTGAATTGTGATTATGGTTTTTATGGAAAAGACTTGAGCTCACTATCTGTTATTTTTATTAATATTAGATTCCTTGTTGCAAACCAAGAGAGGAAAGATGAAATATAGATAGAAATAAATGAAAAGAAAGAACAGTTTTATTGAATGAATGACCGAGAATAAAAGAGAGAGCTCTCCTCCAAAGGTTTCCCCTTCACAAAGGATTTCTCCTTTTGGCTTTCACACAATATCTTTTGAATTAAAATATGATTTCCGCCATCCGTCCACCCCTGTTTACTTATCTAACTAATCTCCTCTTATTAACCAATTAAATTCACTAATTGTCTCTAATTAAATCTCCCTTCTCTCCTATTCTTAACATAATTAGTCAACTCCAAATCCTAATTAGATTAGGAAACATATCACGAAATACACAATATTGAACCCCTAGAGGTAGTATAAGATATTTCCTAGTTACTCTGATAGAAGCCAAATGTGAGATATTTTTCATATATAATTTCTAACGCTCCTCTCAAGTTAAAATTTTCTAAGCTTCAAGCTTGTTGACTAAGAACCCTTTAAAAGATATTGTAGTATTATCAGACAACTCTAAGACTGACGATGTTGTACGGGGCAAAATGTTGGGCAGTAAAGAACCAACATAAAAATAAAATAAGTGTAGCAGAAATAAGGATGTTGCGTCGGATGTGTGGTAAGACTATACGAGATAAGAACATAAATGATAACATTAGAGAGAGTATTGAGGTAGCAATCATAGTAGAAAAGATGATGGAAAATAGGCATAGGTGGTTTGGGCATGTAGAAAGAAGACCCGTGAATACGGTGGTAAGGAGAGTAGATTAGATAGATGAAGGGTAGTCAAACAACTAATGGTAGAGGAAGACCTAGAAAAACTGTAAGAAAAACTATTAGAAAAGACCTAGACATTAACGGGTTAGATAGATACATGGTTTTTGATAGAACATTATGATGTAGTTTGATCCATGTAGTCGACCCCACTTAAGTGGGATAAGGCTTGTTTGTTGTTCTTCTTTTTGTTGTTGTATTTGCCACATAATCATCTTTGATGCCACCTCAGATCCACACCCACATCACAACTTTTGGAGGCCAAAATGAGGGCTGGGGCAAAATGCAAAAAATGTGGAAATAGGAGGGCTAAAATGTTTGATTTAGGAATGAGGGGACCAATTTTATGAAAATAGTCCGATATGGGGATCAAAAGTGCATTTAAGTCTTAAATATAAAAAAATGTAGAAATCAAACCTAATTTTTAATTTAAAATATTTAAATTACTAAAACTCTTTCCAAATATTAGAGGATATTTTTTCAAATATTTGGACAGTTTATTTATTCATCATATATTTATTTCTGCATGCAGGCTTTGGCATCTGAACGTGAACTTGTACTGGTACTACTTGATCCAGATGCAATAGTAGATACTAGACCAACGACAAAGCAACTCTCCAATAACTCTGATAATGGATCTGGCAAGAGTGAAATTGACTTGATGTTTGTTCTCGATAGGATTTTTGAAGGAGTATGTCGGCCGTTTAAAGTGAGAGTTGAACAAGTTTTACAGTCACAACCAAGTCTTATAGTCTCTTATAAACTCAGTAATACACTTCAGTTTTACTGCTACACCGTGAGTTATCATCTCTTTTCTTTTTTCAACAGCAGTAGTCCATATTTTTATTTGTCTTGATGACTTCTTATGGTCTTGTAGATCTCAGATTTACTTGGGCAAGATACTGCACTTTGTAATACACTATGGGCACTGAAAGATGCTGCTCAGAAAACTTTTTTTGATATTTTGAAAGGCCGGGGAGAAAAGCTTTTACGATATCCCCCACTTGTTGCTGTTGATCTTTCTCCGCCCCCGGCTGTGAGAGAAGGAGTATCTGTACTTCTGGAAATAATTGAGAACTACAACAGCATGATGATTCCTGCTTCTGGCCAAAAACCTGCTTTTGATCCAGTTATATCTGCTACATTGGATCCAATAATTCAGGTTTATATTTTTCAATCTGATTCCTGCATTTGACTGCATTACCATTCAGGATAGTCATGAAAGAAAATGATGTGAGTATGAAATTATTCTGAAATTGACCTATAATATCTTAGAGCTACTTCCATAATGGTGGTTTTGAAAATCTCTGTAGTCAACTTGGTGTCTATCCAAGTGACACAAAATATCTGCAAAGGACGTCTTCCCTTTGGTAACAACAATGCTATTGTTTTAATTCCTTAAAGTACAATGTTCCCCTTCCTAGCCTGCTGATTTAATAACTTATGCATGCATAGTCCGTTAACTTGATGCTTTAGTGCCGAACAGTTCCACAGTCCTAACTATTCATGTTAGAAGATAATTGGCTGTATTTTCAATGAAATCATAGATTTAGCTTCCTATTTGTTGCAGATGTGTGAACAAGCAGCAGAGGCACACAAGTCAAAAGTAGCTGGCAACTCATCAAGAAGAAGTAGGATGAGTAGCGACTCTAGTCAACTGACTAAATCATCAGTTGATGCAATCTTGTCAAACAGCCGCTCTGCATCATCACTGGTCTGTTCCTCCTCTCTTTTAAACGAAACAATTATTTTTCCTTCTCTTTTGGGGTTTATAGCTTTGTTGCAGTTTACTTTTTTTATTATTTAATAGACTTTGGCTGTTGATATGAACTTCATTCTTGTGCATTTAAATAGTGTATTATTATCATTTAACTGACAAAATTCCAATGAACTGTCTATATGTTTATATAAAAAAGACTTCATTGTCCCCATCCTTATGGATTGAACTATGGAAGTGAGGCATCTTTTCTGACAAGTTACACCTAATTAAGATTGCATCAGCTTCATGAGTCCAGGGTTGCAGCCTTTTAAAATCAGTACTGCTATAAATTAAAAAGAAAATCCATTTGGAATCAAGAGACTAAATTGAAATAATCTTTAATTTTACTGGAACTTTTTGGAAGAAATACCATGCTGTGTTGTAGATGTAAGGTCATGTTAATTCACTTATAAAGTCCATTGTTGCATGTCCAAATCAAGTATAGCACTATAATTGTTATCAATATCAATGTGCAATTAGAGCAAAAAGTAAAGTGGAACAAATTAATGAAAATAACATGGTCAATTTCCTGGAGTTTTCTGATTAGTTCCTGTAAGAACTTTAATACAATAAACTAGTTTTGGCTTCTGTAAGACATTTGTCTTAACCTACATTGTTGTTTTGCAGACTAGCGAGACACCCTCAAAGATCTTTCTCATTAACTGCTTGTGTGCTATTCAACAACCTTTATCTGGATATGAGGTTGCTGCTGAGTATGTGAAAAGACTTGGAGCAATGATAGATAATCACCTACGCGTTCTTGTGGAGAAAGAAGCTGATGCAATCTTAAGTAGATGTAATTTGTCAGAAAAGATGCCTCACTTCCATAATTCAATCCATAAGGACGGGGAAGATGATGTTGGTACCCCATTGGCTGAACTGGAAGATACAAGTCCAACCATTCTTTCAGAGTGTTTGAAAGCTCTGTTTGGTCTTATTTTGGGAAGCGAAAGTTCCCTGCCTGAGTTTGAGCAGATACAGGTTCCAAAGTTGCGTTCTGAAGCTTCTATAGGAGTGGCCAGATCACTGGGTGAAGCTTATGAGCTTATTTATAATGCTATAATGGATCCCAAAAATGGTTATCCAGATCCCAGGTCGTTGGCAAGGCATCCTCCTAATCAGATAAGAACTATATTAGGGATATGAATTATATTTCTAGTGATATGTTTTACTCTAATCCTGCTCATTATGTTTGCTAATTACGTAAATAACCTTTCTTCTCACATTTAAAATTGTATTTGCTATACCAATTTTTGTCTTTTTAAAATACTTGATTTACTAAATGTTAGTATTAAATGTTATATGTTAGTATTAAATGTTATGTAATTCGAATCTAATATTTTTGTTGGTATGAAGTAAGAATAGATTCTCATTATTTGATCGGAGGTAATGCTTAAAAAAATATCAAAGTTTTTTGTTTTGTTTTTGTTTTCCCTAAAAATAAAATATTCTTCAGTAATAGATTTCTCCTTGCCTCTGGCAAGTTTCAGGATGTCTAGTTTTGGGACCAAGATTGAGGTGTCTTTGTATTTATGTGACTTTCATAACTTTCACCTGGATCCCACGTTTCTGATAATAACATATGATCCAAAATGAAGAAAGTACAATGATAAGAAGGATTAGGTTGAGATTTTGTAGAGGGGCCCTTTTAATAAATACTCCATCGCTGTCTTAAAATATTCCGTCTTAAAATAGCCTACTTTAAACATCTCATTTTTAGTAGTAAGTTAAAATAAATATAAATTTTGAATATAAAAACAAAAAATGTTTTTAAAAAGTAAACGTTTTCTAATTTTTCATTGCCAAATTGTCATTTTATGTTCTGTTTTAAAGATTATACTAGAAATACTGAAAAAAGAAGATATTTTCAGCATTGTTTTGTACAAATCTCTTAGTAAACCAAAACCAATTGAAAATAATACGACACTTTTGCAGTCAAAAGTGAAAGATAGAAAAAATGCCAAACAAAGAACATTTCTTTCTAAAAAAACGAAAGTTTTTGGTTTTGTTAGAAAAACTAGAGGAATGCAAAACATTACTTCCTAAATGGTATTTTTTAGGGAATGATAATTCATTTAGGGTTTGATTTGTTAAAAAATATGTACTTGAGAACTTCTTTTGTAAGAAGAAACTAATTGTAAATTGGGCAAAACAAATGGTAGATGATTTGACAAAACTATGAATTTGTTCACTCTCACTAAACCATAAGACAATTTTTTTGTCCCAGTCACATATTATAATAAATTTCAAATCTATGTATATCTATCTCTCTCCCTCCCTCTCTCTCAATTTCTCATTTTGCAAATCAAACTCTCATTAAAAATATTAAGATCTAACTTTCAAATCTCGCACAAATTAACAAATTTTGATCCCTTCAAAAAAAAAAGTTGATATTTCTCTTTTTCTTTTTTTTTTCTTTAAATTCTAAATTTCTATTTTAACCTATGATGTAAGGAATATTGTGTAGCCTTGTTTGATTTCTTAATTTTATTATACATTAGAAATATGTATTATTTGTGTTTTTAAATATAAATATTTTTTTTTTTTTATAAAACACTGAATTTTTAAATGCCCTTAATCCTTAATTATCAACCTACTCTAATTTATTTTCCATATGTTTCATGATCAACAATAAATAATGCATTAATACACTGTACACACCAACTCAAGCATTTCAATAATTGATATCACCATTTTTTATTTCAATATTTCCCTAACAACCACGTCAAAGGCTACAGATAAGATTAGTTTTCGTGTTTGTTTTGTAAACCCAGAAAGTTGATCAAAATCAAACACCTGAGTCAACGTCAAAGCTCAAAAAAACCACAACTGTTTCATCAAACCAACCATATTGTTTGGTTGGAATTGGAGTTGCAAGACAGATAGATAGTTGTTCAATGGGGGGTGGCACGTGGAAGGCCCATTTGGCCATGGCGTTTGTGCAGCTATTATATGGTGGCTACCATGTCATCACCAAAGTGGCCCTTAATGTTGGAGTCAACCAACTTGTCTTCTGCTTCTATAGGGATCTCCTTGCTCTCATCATCCTTTCTCCAATTGCTTTTTTCAAAGAAAGGCAAGTCATCCTTATACTTAATGTGTCCTGAGGTGTGAGTGTCGTGTCTGGTGTCTGAATTACTGTCGGAGTTTATTTATGATCAAGTATTCTAATTATACAATTTGACTATAGACAGACAAGGCCACCCATTACTAAGAAGCTATTAATGTCATTTTTCTTTCTTGGATTAACCGGGTAAGTTCCTTGCATGAGTACAATCTTATTTCCTATTATTCTCATATACAAGTTTTATTGCTAGTGTTTTATTGATGTTTTTTCTTCTTGTTGATTTCTGATCAGGATATTTGGTAACCAGCTCTTGTTTCTTATTGGCTTAAGTTATACTAATCCAACTTATGCCGCAGCTTTGCAACCAGCTATTCCTGTCTTTACCTTTCTCTTTGCTGTTATAATGAGGTCAGTTTCACTCTTACACCAGAACCGTCCTTTTAGACTTGTTCAAGATGGACTGAATTGTACCTACATAGAGCTTCATAATAGGTTTTTAAGAGTTAAACCATGACTAAATAGTGTCCCTAATTGTTTTGTCACGGTTGAATTGTAACTGACTAACCTACACTGGACCTCCAAAATCTTAAGACGGCCTTGACCTTTACGGATGAGATTCAAGTGAGTGGTTAAGTCACACATTGACTAGAAATAGAGAAAATGTTGGGTATATAAGAGAGGTGACCCATATCCCTAATGCCTTAAGGTTTTTGGTGAATATGCTGTCATGGTGTCTTGGATCCTGAACATTTAACTCATTGACACTTCCTCAGAGCTAGGTTAGGCTCGGTGGGGAGCAGAAGTGGGGATCCTAGTATGGATCAAGGCTAGTTCAAAAGTTATTGCGAAAGTTGTCTAAGTTTGATTGTTCAAAATCATTTCTCTTTATGTAATCGTTATAAATGTATCAAATTTAGTTTTTATTATTAGTTCATCTTTTGTAGAACACATACAATTATACAAATGCACACTCATAATTGTAGTGCAGAGAACTGTTCACTGATAAAGTGTTCTTATGCACATAGGTAAACTAATGGCATAGCTTAATAAACTTATGCATGATACAGTGTAGAAAGAGTGAATTTGAAGAGTTACGAAGGTCTGGCAAAGGTTGGAGGAACTCTTATCTGTGTTTCGGGTGCCGTATTGATGGTTTTGTATCGCGGTCCGTCATTGATAGGATATGCAGAACTGGTCATTATACCACAGAATGGAATAAATGTTGGTGGTTTGCCAGAGACTTCTGGATGGTTGATCAGTGGTTTAAAGGATCTTGGATTAGATAACTTTGAACTTGGAGTTGTGTTCTTGATAGGGAACTGCATGTGCATGGCTGCTTTTCTAACCATTCTGGTATCTATCTTTATTGTTATTTCAACTCATTGATTTTTTTTGTTCTTTAAGTGATTGTAGATAATAGTTCTTATCAGGAATGATCCTTTCTAGATAAATTCCAATGGTTTAGAATCAGATCAAGGTTGGACATGAATCTCAATCAATACGAATCTCTAATTGAGCCTTTTTTGCATGGTTGTCGGTATTTTACAATCTCAATCGATACGAATCTCTAGAGTGCATCTATTTGGACATGAATCTCATCTTGAATCCCGATTCACTATGATGGATCTCGATTCTCGATTAATTCTAATAGTATCTGAACTTAGTGTAGCCAACTACTTGTTTTTGTCAACTTTGTGGAACAAACCATTCTCTTTTGTCATTTGGTATATGACTTGAATCCTTACTTATTTTGAAGTTCACATATGTGTATCTTACTATTCTTAATAAAATTTGATCCACGGTTTTGAAAAAATGTCTTCTGACTCACGATTGGATAACCATGCTTCTCATAGGCCTTTTGTGATATCATCATCAAGTTTAGTTTATTTCCATTAATGATTTTCAGGCACCGGTATTAAAAAAGTATCCTGCAAATCTATCTGTGACAGCTTATTCATTCTTCTTTGGAGTTGTACTAATGGCAATAGTCTCGTTATTCATGACGGATCTATCAAGTGACTGGATTTTGACACAACCAGAAATACTTGCTATTGTTTATGCTGTAAGTCACTATGATTTTAAATCAGTTTCCATTATCATGAACCCTTATTAGCCATTACTCTTCTAGATTATTTGGTCCACTTCACGGAACTATTTCTAAAATACATTTTCTGTCAACTCCGATTTCTCATCTTCTAAAACACTTATACATAGAGACACATTTTTTTAATTCAAAAGTATATTTAGGGAGCTAGGTAATGATAGATTATTTTGGTCGATTTTGACAGATTTTGTATATTTGTTCAGGGAACTATTGCATCTGCCTTTAACTATGCAGTCATTAGTTGGTGCAACAAGATATTAGGGCCAGCTTTGGTTTCCCTATACAATCCACTTCAACCTGGATTTTCTGCTCTACTGTCTCAGATATTCCTTGGAAGTCCAATTTATTTGGGAAGGTATAGTATATGTAATTATATATACCTCCTTTAACTTTCAACCTATTGATTCATTCATCTCATTTTTATAATCCATGTGATAACAGCATCATAGGGGGGTCTTTGATCATTGCTGGTCTTTATACTGTTACATGGGCAACTTATAAGGAAAAACAGGCAATTGTTGAAATTACTTCTCATGAATCTTGGGTTTCTGAACCACTTATTCATGAAAAAAATGCACAACAAAGAGATCATATATTTTCGGCGTCCTCCAGCGCATCATCAAACCCAAAATCGTCCGATTAAAATGTAAAGAGTAAATATATGCAGGATTTGAATGTGTGATTTCTAGATCACAAGACACCGCCTTTGTCGTTGCGCAAATGCTCTGACATGATGGTGACCATCTTTTTTTATGGGTAGGGAGAACACCTTGGTGTTTAGAGTTATGGATCCATTTGGAGTCAGGTTTTAGACCCACTAAGGGCGACGGTTAACCCTGCGTTCACTCTCCTACCTGACATGGCGTTTTGGATTATGAATATTGGTTCAAAGTTCATGTGCATTCAACTCTGCTTAGTGGTTCCACATTTGAAAAAGGCAAAAGTGATTTAAGAAGTGTGTAATTGATTTTATAACTTTTGAGTGATTTTAGCACTAAAATTTACTATTCAACTCACTTTTACATGAATGAATTCAAACATAAATCATTTATCATTCAACTCAGGTTACATGAATGTATTCAAACATAAATAACTTAACATTTAACTCACTTTTAGTCTGGATTAATCCTCTAGAATCAATTTGCTTTGAGCTGGAAGGCTCAATTAGCAAAATAAGTGGCTATCATAGGAAGGGTACGCAACCATATTTTCCCTCCACATTACAAAAATATCCCTCGTGAAATTACCATGCTAATCTTTCTGAGTCAATCCAATGGATAACCACATCCCATGCACATGCAATTGCTAACCATTTATCCTATTTAAAGGAGAAAACACGTAATTTCCCATGTATCATTCATTTCCATTTAAACTCCATTTTCACTCTCTTACTGATTTGAGCGTTGGAGTGCTAACCTTATAGATTAGCCTCCAGCTCACCACATCTGAAGCCTTGAGCCACCATAACTCACTGTGAATTCAACCATTTCGATCTTCATATTGTTCTAGAGCAAAACATTGATGTTGTATGTGGGAATCGACTTTCGATTCCTAAGATTTTTGTGATTCACCGCTTCTTAATTTCACCGATTCAAATTCATATCTCATTCGATCAAAACCTAGATCTTCGCCTCTAGACCAATTCCTTCAAGTTCGGGACCAAACTCATTCCATATGATACACCAGACGATGACAGTGTCCAAAGTCACTCGTTCTGTCATTCAACGACAAGTAGCTCTAACCACTGAAGTGGGTAGAACTCCCCCGTCTCCTTCTCGAGGGACAAATGATCAAGTCTTTACAACAACTCCCTTTCGTTCCTCCACCGTTGAACCTTGTCCAACCTAGTGCGGATCTAAGAGTTTCTCAACTTCCCTCATTCATCATATCCGCTCCACAATTCTATCTAAACAAACCTTCCTTTACCGTCTGCTGTGACTGGACGCGAAACCCTCCCCAATTTCCAACTCTTGCAGGCTAATCTTGGTTAGCAAGAAGTTAATGAGTTGTTGCAACAATTTGTACCAAATGGTTCAAAAACAAAATTCTCAAGCCTTTACAGACAACTTAACTCGAATTGAAGACAACTTGTACAATGACATTCCAAAGAACAACACAATGTTTAAAGCGGTCTCGCATAAAACTGCCGAGTCAAAAAAGGATTTAGAAAAAGTCCAAAAATCTCCAAATTGTTGAGATACAAATGTCATAATCCTTCCTCAAATACCGAAAGAGGAAGGGGAAATCACACTCCTCTCGATGTTTGTCGGTCAAAGAGGAGAGAAATGATAAAAAAAAGAAGCTCTCACTCAGGCATGGAGGAAGAACCCTCTGTATATTCACATATTGGACACAAGGTCCCAAAGCCTCTAGAGAAGTCTCAAAAGCTCCAGAATTACAACGAAAATGGAGATTCGAACGAACATGTTAAGCACATAGACTACTACCACGCCAACAAAGACGTGAAATGCAAGCTCTTTGCATTAACCTTAAGTGAGTATGCCCAAACCTGGTATAAGTCCCTTTTATATTGAAGCATATACTAATGGCCTGACCTATGCAAGACTTTCCCCGCCCATTTTACCCCAGGAAAAGACAATCGACCACCATCGTCATTCTTAGCGGGGTCACAAAAGGTAAGAAGGAAACTCTCCGCGTGTATATTGACTATTTTACCAAGGTGGCAGTAGTTGTGGGAGGCGGATGAGAGCCTAAAATGTTATATCTTCGAGAAAAGTCTTAGATCATATTATGCTTTATGGGAGAAATTAAGGTGAAAGCAGGCTAACAACGTGAAGAACTTACTAAGTACGACACAACACTATATTCGTTATGAAGAAAAGTTGTTGGTCGATGGAGGCAGTCGAATACCGGGAAATATTGGATCTAGTCAGGCACTAATAAAGGATTTTGGGCTATCGAAATAGGGAAGCGAGTGCATGCCTCGTCCAAGATTTGACTCGTTCGCTCTCTTAAACCATTCACCGGAGACTATTCTGAAAGAGTGTGTAAACATAGAGTTCAAAGAGGTCGGGATAAAGAATATGTACCCAATCCAAGAGTCTACACTTACTGATAAATTTAAGTACTACCATTTTCATTTGAGTCACGGTCACAACACCAATGATTGCATCTAGCTGAATGATACAATTGAATGACTAATCAAGAAGGGATAATTTTCTGAGTACACAAAGGACAAAAAAAAAGGTCGAGAGGAGTCCCCAAAGAGGAAGCAATCCCATAAGAAAGTTGTTGAAGTCATGTCTAGGAACAAAGTAAAGGAAGAAAGCAATGGAGAAAGTAGGACATGCAAAAGAGGAAATTCCAGTACATTACTTCCATAACTGGAGGCTCCCTTAGGGCGAGCAATCCCTCCAAAAGTATGATGAAAAGAAAGATTGTGGAGCTGAAGGTTGTCAGAAAAATGGAAATGAGTACCTCCACCAATATCATGGAGAGACCTATCCTCTGGTTTCGAGATGACGAGAACATCAAAGGAGTCCACAACGAGATATTCTTTTTGGTCATCACGACCGCAATTTCCAACTTCGATGTATCCAGGATATTGATCAATGGTGGAAGTTCCTACGATATTTTGTAAAAGAAGAGTTATGTCCCTATGAATGGTATGACTTGTAGGCCTTCAACAACATTGCGAATCATCCGTGGGGATACATAGACATGATGGTTACCCTGGGAGATGAAAGTTATACCATAACCATCGACTCTCAATTCCTAGTCATTCTGTGTAGGAATGTGTACAACTGCATCCTAGGCATGGCTTTTGCAGCGACACTACATGCAGTGGCTTCCCCCATCCATGTCAAGCTCAAATACCCTAATATACGCGATGAATTGTAAATAATCAAAGTCGAACTTTTAAGAGAAAAACAAATTCACAAGGGCTTATCACAAGATCAGAAATAAGGTGAAACTAAGGCAATGGAGATAAACGTGCCTCCTTGATCGGGCAACTAAAAAACTTGGCCATTTAACCCCCTTCGATTAAAGCAAGCTGTCTTGGCCAAGCATGAAAAAGTGTCTAACTCTAGATAGATTTATGAAATAACTAACAAGTAGTGCCTATGCCACTTGGTTATGCTAATTTTGAGTTCTTTTTCTTTATGTAAAATCAAAACTATCACAATGTAGTAAAGCCATTTTGATTATATCAGAAGAATCTTTTCACTAAATTATATTTTTCCTTGATGATTATGAAAGGTAGTGACGAGTTTAGGGTACGACTAGAGAGATCGGAGCCCCATCACAAAGACTCTGGGTGATGTTACAAACACATCAGGCACATGACTAAAGCGCACGAACGCACGCACGCGTGAGGATGATATGATGGTAAGGATGTCAAACTCCCATGGATTCGAAATAACTTAGATTGATTTGTAAAACTATATTTTATAAATGAGCACGAGCATAAATAATAAGAGTTGATAGTTGCCATAGGTTCAGTTTTAAAGTAAACAATAGTAAAATAACATCGATTTAAATAAGTGAAACCAGTAATTGAGACTATGTTGAGCAATGATCCATTAATATAACTTATCTATTGTGTGCACATGATGTGCTATGCCGTGTCAGATGAGGTCAGAATATGATCTAAAGGTGTATTCCTACAACAACATAAACATATACAATAAAGCAATGAGACAAATTCCTAACCCTCACATTTAACTTTAATGCAGGTCTTGTTTCATTCAGAACATCTTCTATGATTGTATCTCTTTACGCCTAAAGTAGCTAATCTAGTGAATATTTTTGTCATACTATTTTCAGTAACATTTATCATGAGTTCCACTTGTTGTAGGATTCCTCACAACGAAAAGCTTGAACCGTTTTCTAAGTTAATAAGCCAAATATTCATATTCATAAAAATATAATGCATGATAAAATAAAGCACAACACATTATTTAACACAAAATATTATTTTATATTAAATTTACATTGCTCAACATGAAATATTTTATCTCATTATGAGCTTAGTACATCCATCAATATTGGATCCTAAGATAAACATTCTTAAACACATACTGAAAGAGAAATGAAAAACTAATAGTAACTTCTTCCTCTTCTTGCAATCTTCGATCAGTAAGAGACGGGTTCTGTCATGTTAGATACTTGTAGCTTATACTTGATATGAGGAGATAAAAAGCTCTCCACTCTAATTCATCTTACTTTCACATCAACCTCTACCAAGTGTTTCTCTAAGTCTATGAGTTTATGGACCTCTTTGAATTTCTTCCAAGATGTCCTTTAATACATCTAGGGTTCTTGTGGATTCTTAGATCATGGGTCTTTGAATATTAATTACACTCAACCCATAAGAATCAACAAGTTTCCCTCCAATTCTAACTTTTTGTAACATTGTTGAGCAAGGTAGAACAATATGTGGGAGACAAGGTGTTTTGTGGCAGGCTAGTGGCGCAGGGTAAAAATGTGGTGCCTTGTGGCAGTCCTTTGTAGCAGGGAGACAAGTTATGTGTTTTAGTGGTTGTACTATTGTGCAAATTTTTGTCTTCCAGCGCCTTGATCTTATCTCTTTGCTATTTGATTCAAATACACTCTTTTTTCTGGTTGTTGGCACATATGCCCTAAAGCTGTAAACCTCTATTATTGAATTCTTCATTTCAT